ATCCATCCATCCATCCATCCATCCATCCATCCATCCACTCATCCATAAATCCATCCATCCATCCATCCATCCATCCATCCATCCATCCATCCATCCATCCACATAGTCATTATCCATCTTTACCTCCCTACCCTTCCATGCATCCACCTACCTTCCCATCCATACACATATCTACCATGCATCTACTCTCCCACCCAACCACATATAAATGTATCCATTCATTGGCTCACTTGCCACCCATCCTGCCTTCCATCCATCCATCCATACACCCATCCATTTATACTTTCCCTCCTAACACTAATTTCCTCCCTGAATCCTCCTCAGGCCAGGGCTGTGGGCAGGGGTGGTAGGAGAGGCACATCACACACAGATGTAGACGCAGAGACCTGTGGGGAAGGAAAGCAGGGCTTGGAAGCTGCTGGAGTGTGTGGGGTGGGGAGGAGGTGGCATGAGCACACAGGGTGGCCCAGAAGCAGTGCTTGGGGCAGTGTGAGGAAGGTACACGGTGAAGGCAGGGATGCAGGGCACGTCGGCCCTCTCAGTAACCGTTGTCCAGCCATAGCCAGAAGCCCGGTGGGGACGGGGTGTTTCCCCCTTGCTGGTCACTGTCCGAGTGTTCCAATGTGCATGATGCCATCTCATTGGCTTTTCCCTTGCAAACAAGGGCCTGGAGGACAGTGGGGTGGAGGGACCTCCTCAGAGTCACACGGTTGCTGAGTGACAGAGTTGAAGGCATCCTCAGAGTGGACAGGGTGCTGAGGGCCCAAAGCCTAGTGTGCCCTGGAGCTGCATTGCTTGCAAATTGCAGGCCCTGGGCTGGCACAGAAAGCCTGGGTCTGAGGACATGGGTGCCCACCGTTGGGCCCAGGCTGTTTGTCCCCAGACCCTCAGCTGCTGCAGGTCAGACACTGAGAGGCCAGGCTCCCCCTCTCTGCAGCCCAGAGACTGGGGAGCAGCCTGGGGGTAGGGCGTCAGCATCCGTGGGCTGTGGTGAACAGGGGACAGGGAGGAAGGTGGCCTGGGAGCCAGCAGTTGGGTATAGCTGAGTGCGCACAGTGCCCTGGTCAGGGTGGGCGGGACAAGGCTCATGGAGTCACGGTGCCACGTGTCTGCATCCACCGCCTACATCCATCTCGGCAGTGTCCCCACCCTCGACAGGGAAACCAAGGCACAGAAAGGCTGGTGACTCCCCGAGGCCACAAAACTGAGGCGCAGTGGTCACACCCAGGCTCATCTCATTTGTGAGAGAAAACGGCTGCTCCCTCTGGACTGACTGTTCTGAGAAACTTTTGCGGGAACATCTTCCCTGCTTGGTGCAAAGATAATAGCACGGTAATGAGGTGTTTTTCGGCTCTGGGTCTACAGAGGATGTCTTTGATGAATTATTCAAGCTGGCTCCGGAGAAAGTGGGTGCCGTGAAAGAGGTAGGAGAGACCCCAGACCTGCACTCTCACCTGCCCACCCTGCCCTGTATGCCCAGGGGTCCTGCCCACCCTTGCCCGAGCCACCACGTCCAGGTGACCAGGTGGGGTGGGAAGGGCAGGAAGGCGGCAAACCGGAGGCTGGCTGGGGTTTTGCCCTTCCCTGACCAGGCCATCGTGAGCTTTGTCAACCAGAAGCTGGAGCGCCTGGGGCTGTCGGTGCAGGACCCGGACACCCAGGTAGGGGCACAGATGCGGGTCCCCGGAGGGCCAGGGGCCACTGCGTGGGGAGGGAGGAGGGCTCTGTAGGAGTCAGGATCTCGCTGTGTGGCCAGGGGCAGGGGTGTCATCTCTAGGAGCCTTGGGGCGTGTTGCTGGTCTGCAAGGCCCGCCTCCTGCGGGGTTATTGCTCACCCACAAGGTCTGTAACTATGGCAGGCACAGGAAGATGAGGTGACTGGAACCCAAGTGTCCCAGGGTAGAATCATGGGCAGCGTTCACTGTCAGCCTCTGTGCCCTTGACTGTGACTGCCCATGAACTCAGTGAATCCCCAGCCAACCCCCAAGAGGGAGCTGATATTAGTCCTATTAAAGCACAGAGAGGGTGGTTAACTTATCCAGAGCCATACAGTGATGAAGGGGTAGCCCTGGGATTTGAACCCAGGCAGCTGATGTTGAACTTTGTGCTCATAACCCCTTTGCCAGCCAGCCATGTGAGGTCTGTGCGTGGTGGTGATGTAGTATGCCGGGTGGAAACTTTTGAAGTCACATGGACAGGGGTTTCCATCCTGTGCCAGTCGCTTGTGACCCTTAGGACACCTCCACATTTGTTAGGTGACCTTACGCAAATTATTGGACTTCTCTGAGTACAAGGATACCAACCCATCTTAAAGGACTGGGATACTGAGACGTGATTGAAATACATGGTGAACACTTAAATTGTAAAATATTTATTACAGTAAAAGACACACTGTCATTAGTTCTCCTCAAAACCACCCCCCTGGCTCCCAACTCAACCCATCCTGTCATTCTTTACTTTTCAAAGCAGCTCTGGGAGTCCTTTTTCCTGAAAGTCTTACAAAGCGTGGTAAAAACACAGTGAATGCTCTTGCTAAGTGCCGTCTGATGGAAAGGCAGCTTGTAAAACCATGGTGGTGTGGCCCTACCCACCTTATTCACCAGATCTGGCACCATGCAACTTCTGGCCCTTCCCCAAAGTCAAAATGACTATGCAAGGTCAACCTTCTGAATCGATTCAGAACACTGAGGCAGCCACGACAGTGGCTACAGACACTCATGAGAGAGCACTTCCAGAACGGCTTCAGAAAGCAGCCTGAGCAGTGGGACAAGTGAATTCAAAGTGTGTGTATGGGAATACTTTTTGGTAATATGCCTATAACTGTAACACACGTTTAAAAATTTAAATATTATTCATCATATCTTTGGATCACACCTCATATATGAGTTGAGGAGTATCTGGGGGTCAACGTTACCTGGCACACTGCCCACTCACAGTCAGTGGTACATCTGTGGTTTTGGTCTACTTTATGTGGTCTATAAACAGGATGGTTTCTGAAGTTTCTATTCTGCCTTGTTGATCCCTGCTTTTCCTGTGGGAAAATGCTGGTGCTGGAGAACACGAGTGTGTCTGGGCATGGTATTAGAGATTGTCATATAAGGAGGGATATGAAATCACATGTGCTATGTGCCAGGAACATCAGCAGGGAAGATTTCAGGCCCAAACTAATAACATTGCAACAGACACAATACGAGGAAATTCCATTAAGGACTCAGAGCGGTGTTTTTTCCTCCAATATCCAATCTACTGTCTCATGTCTTTGAAGAGATTCAATAGGATTATATTAGCATATGATATGCTGGTGGCAGGGATGACAGCTTTATCTCTGAACACACAGAACAGACAGAAATATTAATGTGGCAGCTGCAAAGGGGCCCAACGTGCTGTTTTCTGCCCTTTCCTGATGGAATAATTGTATACTTACCTCTGTTTCCTTCAGTGTTTCTGCAGCTCATGGAATAATGTCATTTAAAAATTGATATGAGGTTATTCTGCAGCAAGTTGGGAAATAGCTCTTTTTATTGAGTGCATACTATGTGCCAGACAGCCTTTCATTGCTGTCTGCAGTATAAAAATTGGGAACGTCATCCACATTTCTCAAAAGGGAACCCAAGGCTCAGACAGATTGCACATTTTTGGGGCCACACAGCCTGTGAAAGGCAGGGTGGGGGCCCTTTATCTTCTCCCACACCTGAGCCTCTGGTTCCTTCCTTTGCAGTTTGCCGATGGAGTCATCTTACTCTTGCTGATTGGACAACTGGAAGGCTTCTTCTTGCACTTAAAGGAATTCTACCTCACTCCCAGTTCTCCTGCAGAAATGGTAAGTTTTCCAAAGATTTTCCTGGGCTGTCTACCTCTGGGTGGACAGGTCTACAGATTTATGTCTGCCCATCCACTCATCCGCCCACCCACCTGCCCATCCATCCATCCATTCATGTATCCATCTGCACATCCATCCAAACATCCATTATTCATCCATCCATCCATCCATCCATCCATCCATCCATCCATCCATCTTCATGCTCATCCACCTACCTGCCTGCCTGTCCTAACCTTCTGCCCATCCACCCATCCACCCATCCACCCATCCATCCATCCATGCATCTACCCATCCATCCATCCATCCATCCATCCATCCATCCATCCATCCATCCATCCATCCACCCATGCACCCATCTGCCCATCCAACCACTTGCCTCCCTCACCCATCTTCCCATCTGTCCCTCCGTCCGCTCACCCAATCCACCTGTGCACTGCACCTCTCACTCTGGGGGACCTGCTCAGTATCGCCCCATACTGCCTAACATAGAGTCAACCAACACGGCGCAAGCATTTGAGGCCTTTCTGACTACACCCAGTGCCCTCCCATGGATTAGGGTCTTCCCTGGGCTCACAGTATGCGTGACTCCATGGCGCGCGGGGCAGGGGAGGACTCCGAAGGAGGGGTCAGTCTGATCTGAAGGAGTCAGGGAAGGCGTTGTGTCCGAAGGGTTTGGTTCGCAGAGTTGGGGCGGAAGAGGAAGGGCGCTCGGCACGGGGCAGACAGCACAGCAAGGCACCAGGGTTCAGTGAGCTGTAGGCCTGGGAGGGGCAGGACGGGGCTCCTGGGGGGTGGCTGTGGAAGTCCAGGCAGGAGGGTCTGTGTCGCCCCAGGAAGGAGATGGGCAAGGATGAGCTGTAATGGTCAAGAGGATTGGTGGAGGCGACAGGGTAAGCCCTGGAACGGCGATCTGTTGGTCTTCCGACTGGAGGAGGTCCTGTGTCTGGCTGCCTCCCGCCCCTGCCTCTCAGCCCCTGCTGTTCGGCTGCAGCTCCTCGAGCTCCTGTCCTGCCTCTGAGCCTTTGCACTGGCTCTTCCCCCACTGCCTCATGAGGCAGACCAGCAGCTGAGGCCGGGGCCTCGCGGGGTCCCCACCACCTGCCTTACCCTGCCTCCCTGCATCCTGCCATAGGGCGGGCGCTCCCTGCCTGGCAGCCGAGAGCCTTGTCCCCATCTGCCGCATGGCCAGCTCCCTGTTCTGCCCAACCTCAGGTCACACATGGTGGGGTGAATGTTTGTAGAAGCATCAAGGAAGAAATGCAGAGGGCCTGAGTTCCCGTCGCCTGCCTGCGTCTGGCCAGCCACGGCCACTGGGAGTCTTTGTTAAGCCCTCGGTGGCGGCTGAAGGCCAGTGACCTGCCCGATACCCCAGGTGGCAGCTCACCTCTGACCACGCCAGCCCCAGCCCCAGACAGGGCGCCCCCGGGTTTCCCTGCCCCCGTGGCCTTTCTCGTGCGGTGACCCCAGGCAGGGCCTAGGCCGTTCCAGGTCAGCCTTCGGGGCCTTCCAGGGAGGAAGAATTCTGTTCCCCTCCATGGGATGGTGTGGCCCAGGGGCGGGGTTAGGCCTCTGGCTTTCCCGGGGCCCAGCTGCAGGCCAGGGTTCCCTGGCATTGGGTTCAGAGAGAGGAGAGCCTGGGCCAAGGCAGAGGCTGGGCCATGAGCACTGGTGGCCCATGTTTAGCAGCAGAAGCACCCACCCCAGCACCCAAGATGCTGTGTCCACCGCCCAGTGCTTAACAGTGCTGTTTAAGAAGCTGCCAGACCAGCTGGTGGTGGACACTACAGTCAGCCATTGTCACAGCTGGCACGCTGCCCCTTCCTGCCTGTTCCAAAGAGGGTCACAGCCTTGGCAGGGCCTGGGACAGTCCTGAAAACCTTGTGCCTTCCCTCAGACCCCGTGGCTGGCTTGCTAAGCATCCTCACGCTGGGCCCATGGGCTGGGGACTATTCCCATCCGCCTTTCGTGGGAGATTCCAAGAGGTACAGTTGTCCAGCCGAGAGCACACAGACGATTAGGACAGAAGTTGGCCTGGCACCCTGCCTTGTCTGTCTCCAAAGCCTGAGATTTTCCCCAAGTCCTTCCTAGGGGGCCAGGGGAGCCCTGTGGGAGGGGAGGGAAATGTGGTGGCCCCGCAGCTCCGAGCCCGAGGATGGATGTTCAGCATCTATGGGGGAGCACTTGGCTCCATCACTGGATGCTAAAAATGCGCACATAGGAGGTCAGAGCTGAAGATAGTGGTGGCAGTGACCCCTTCCGGTAGAGGGACACCCGTGGGCTTGCTTGCTGGGCACAGTGGCTTCTCAAAATTGCATTTTCCATTACCTGACCTTCCTTGTGCACGGTACTTTAGTGAGATTGTGATTCATTTAGGAAACAGAAATTGGGGACAGAAGGAAAGTGATCATTTGCTCTGCAGAAATCAAAGCCCAGGAGCCAGGAACCTTGGGCTTCTTCCCACCTGCAATTATCTGTCCCCAGCAGTACAGGAAGTGTTCTCTGGGCTGTGGCCTCCCCTCAGCTCCTGTGGAGCTGTGAGATTTTTCCTCACACCATCTCAAACTGTGCCTGGAAGGAAAAGATGTGCCAGGAGGGCGTGACGGGTCGGTCTGCAGCCCGGTTGGTTCTTTCTGGAGCTGATCTTTGGTTCAGAAGGGGCGTCATTAGAAAGTGTGACCCAAAGCAAATGTCATCGTATTTTAGTGTTGCTATCAGCAATTCCCAAACCATCAACTCCTCAAGGGTGGTCTGTTTCCGGCCACCCCTGCATGGCCAGGTGCTCCACAAATCATTTTAAAGCAAATGACTGAACGCATATTTCCAAAACACTTGTCCCACGAGGGGCTCCGTGATACAAGGCTTCTGTGACCAAATAATTCAGGGAAACAAGAAGGTTCATGATGACTCTTTCAATGCTCTGAGAAGTTCTGCAGCAAAAGATTTTTTTTTTTTTTTTTTTTGTTTTTTTCCGGTACCGGGAACCGAACTCACGACCTTGCGCTTGCCAGGCAGGCGCTTTGCCGCTGAGCTAAATCCCCAGCCCCTGCAGCAAAAGATTGCTGCATTTCTTTAACTGACAGTTTCCAAAGCCATCGGACCACCAGCCACTGGCCACGTTAGCCTCCACATCCTGAATCAAGCTTTGCAGAGTGCCGGCTCATGGAGGACGCAGAGCAGGCGTGGAGGGGGAGATGAAGAGTCCCAGTCTCCCCTTCTCCTGAGTGTGCTTTCTGTGCATCCCGTGTATCACGTTCCTGACGAGGATGTGCTGCTATAGTAGCAACTTGCTTCCCATGAAATCCCAGACTCGTGAAGGACTTGGGGACACTGTGACGGATGGAGCAGCAGCGCTGGGGCCGCGCCCTGGTCTGGACATTCCTGGGGTGTGAGAGGTGACTTCTGTTTCCTGTTCTCCAGTTCTGGAGAGGACAGCCCCGTGGGAAGCCGTCCAGCTGCAAACACACTCTCCCCTGTCCCGGACCCACCTTGGGTCTCCCCAGCCCTGTGCCTCCAGGGCAGTGACAAGGACGCCCCAATCAGAGAAGGGCACTGCTCCCCACTGCCTGCTGCTGTGTGCGTCACCCGACCCTTTGACACTGGCCTGAGGGCTTCCGTTCTCTGTCTGCCATCCCATTCCATCCCGCAGCCGCCTCAGACTGGCAGATCCGCAACCCCCACACAGAGAGGAAACTGAGGCTGGCCAGGATGGGTGACTTGTCTGACCTGGACAGGGGGATGGGGACGGTGTACCAACAACCAACCCACATCCACCACTCCCCCTGCTAACCGTCCAGGAGGAAACGGGGGGGCAGTGGGCAGGGCTGGGGCCTCACATGAGCCTCACTTGGCCTGGGTCATCTAACACATGGCCAGCCTGGCCTCCGCGCTGCTGGGTTGCCATGGGAACTGCCTGCCAGTGGAGCTGGGGAGCAGTTAGGAGCAGGCAGGGACGTCTGGGCCCACGTTGGATCTATGGGCAGCTGAGACCCCTGCCGGAAATCCTGTTTGAGGTCTCTCCGCAAATCAAGGGCTCACCCCGCTTCACCCATACCCTCTACTATGCCAGGCTGCTGCCTTGAGAGAGGGGGGCCTGCTCTGCTGGTGTCTGAGGCTCAGAGGAGCCTGGAGGATGGGCAGGGCAGGGACTCTGCAGGGCAGTTCTGCCCAGGGCTCCCGGGGCTCCCACCAGCGTCCCATGGCAAACATGTCAGCGGGGACCAGTGAGCAGCTCCGCAGGTGAGCAGTGGGGGCTGGAGGACAGGGGATGTGACGTGGAGCCCAAGGGGTCCCACGACCGAGCTGAGGTCTGAGCCAGGTGGTCTTGTGCTGCCCGGCACCCTCTACTCTGCAGGGGGCCGAGTGGGAGGCGCCAGCCAGGTGCAGACAGGGACAGGCACCAGGGCAGGGGCAGCTCCTGAGGCCTCCAACCTGCTTGGAGGTCACACCGGTGAGACAGCCCTGGGCCTGGGGCCACCCTGGGCCTTGGGCTCCTAACTGCACTTTGCTCAAGAAAATTTGTGTCCCCGTGGGTCCCTACGACCCATGATCCCTTGCTCCATCCCCGGGCTGAGGCCCCTTCCCTGACAGTTGCGTGGCCTGGTGTCACCTCCACCAGGAAGCCTCCCCTGACCCCCAGTGCTTCCCGGGTGGTGAACTTTCCCACTGAGGTGGCCTCCTGGGTGTGCGTGTGTCCAGAGTGACACTTGCTTGGACTGGGGCCGCGCGTGGCTGAGGCCTGATGTCCAGGCCCTGGTATGCAGGACTGAGCTCTCCATCCATGGGGGATGTAAGGTGATGCTGAGTCATTTCAACTGTGGCTCGGGGCAGGAGTTTGGGCAGGTGTGGACAGGTGTTGTGGGGGACAGGACTGGCCTGGCACGGAGGCCCTGAGCCAGGGCTGGGGCCACGGCCTTGCTGTACTCTCATGGGCCTGATTATTGCAGCTTCACAACGTTACTCTGGCCCTGGCCCTGCTGAAGGACGAAGGCCTGCTCAGCCACCCCGTCAACCCCGAAGGTGAGCATGCCGTGCAGGGCATGGGGACAACCGTGTCCTCTGGCCTCGCCTCCACTGCCCCATGGAGGATGCTGGGAGTGGAGGCTGCAGTCCCCAGGGTCCCCAGTGAAACCAGACCTTGAGGAGTTTCTGTGTTGGGGGGACATGCAAGGTTCATGGGAGGCCTGGACGTGAGCCAGGGGGAGGCCGGGTCATGTGGTGGGCACTGGGCAGGACTCAGGCCTGGCGGGACCCACTGCCTGGGTTTTTGGGGGACTCACCAGCCCAGCTGCCTGCCAGCCTGACTCTGCCCCTCTGGCCTGCAGACATCGTGAACAAGGATGCCAAGAGCACGCTGCGGGTGCTCTACAGCCTCTTCTACAAGCACAAGCTGAAGGCAAACGAGGACAAGAGGCCCCAGGGAACCCCAAATTAGCTGCCACTGTCCCGCTAAAGCTGTTTCTCCACCCCTGTCCTGTTCCCTTCAGATAAATGTCTTGATTCCACACCAAGAGCCAACCTTGACTTGTTCAGTTTATTTTTGCTAAATTACTTCTGCGGGGCTCTGGGACCATGCTGGTGCCTCGGGCAGGGCCCTGACATGTGCATAGGGTGAGCTCGATCCCCAAGGTGTGACAGTTCTGAGCAGCCTCTGTCCTGTTCTGTGGCGCTCCATGGGCACCGGGGTCCCTGGCAGTGAGAGTCGGTGATGGCCACCTGTCCTGGGCCCCTGGGCTCAGGCATCAGGACGATGGCCGAGGACCCAGCCACTGCCCACGGCTTCCTGCTGCCCACCTCCCACTCGGGATGACCGTCCCGGGATCCCCACTGGAGGCAGGAGCCCCTCAAGGCTCCAAAAGCAAGCCCCACACCGCGCGGAGAAGTGGGCTCCGTTACTTGCCGAAGCAGCTGTGGCCCAGGCCAACCCCCACCCCCAGCTGCAACTGTGAGACTTGCCCAAAAGTCATGCAGAAGAAATCTCTGCGGTTGATTAGTGGGTTCAGGTCGTCTCCAGTCTGTCCCTGGGGGAGCGATCGTTACTCTCTCCAGTGAGGTTTGGCATCTTCTGCAAAGAAAAGAAACTTGTAGAATTGAGCACAGTCGTTCCAGGGGTGGCTTCCAGAGCTGCCGCAGCGGCTGTCTGATGGGAAACAGCTGAGGGGAGGCTCACAGTGGGGGTGGAGGGGTGGAGGGTAGAGGGCAGAGGGGTGGAGGGTAGAGGGTGGAGGGGTGCAGGGGATCCAGCCCTGACTGCTGCTCCTCCCACCCTCCGGGCTCCAAGCATCTGTCTCCCCTCCTACCCCAGGATAGGACCTTCCTTCCAGTTCAGGGCTGTCACAGTTTGACAGCTTGGGCTTGCAGAGGGGATGGGCGGTCTGGCCACCACTGTCAGGCTTGGGAGGATGTCTTGCAGGATTGGTACTGGGAGTCTGAGAAAGTGGCACCACCAGGATCCCGGCCACCTGCCCCGCCACCACCTGATTCATAAAGCAAATGGAAGCCTTTAGGCGGGTTCCACAGAAGCCTCAGCCCCATCAGATGCTCCCCCATCTGCACCCACACCTGCTTCCCTGTGCCCCTGAGCAGGACCTCTCCTATGCCACGAGTGCCCTGAGATCTCCTCCATTGGGATGCCCTCCAGCCTTCCTCTCCTCCCCCTGGAACCTCTGGGGGTTGTGCACAGGCCAGGACCCCCCACCTTTTCCCATGCCAGGGTTCACGATGAAGCCAACATCCACACCCCGCTACTGGGGTCCCGGTTCCCTCCACACGCAAGCCTCACCCCCTGCAGATGGCTCTGCTCGGCTACCCAAGTCCTCACTGTGTTCCATTTAACAGCAGATTTTTAAAACAACGAAAATAAATTAACTTTTTGTAGCCTGATGGAAGAATAATTTAGAAGCAGTAAAATGTCCCCATTTAAGTGTACACTGTGACAGGGTTTGACAGATCCACGCGGCAGATGCCCACCCCCAGCAGGGTCGAGACTCAACCGTGCCCCTCCCCCAACCAGCCCCAAGCACCCTGCAGCTCCGGCCCCTCCTACCGATCTGCTTTCCGTCACCATGGCTTTGCCTTTTCTAGGATTTTTTATAAACTGCTTCAAACAGGATGTCATCTTTGGGGTCTGGTCTCTCTCCCTCAGCATGACCTCCGCCTTTGCCTTTCAGCTGTTGCAGCTGTCCACTTTATTCTCATATCACTAAACCAGCCCTTCGTGTGACCTAGGACAGGACCGTTGCATGGGTATTTCATAGATTTCACAATATATTATTTTTGCTCAAAAGAATAGGCAGTGTCTTTAGAAGGGATCTTTAAGCACTGAGAAGGAAGCCTTAGGTTCAGCCGTGTCTTTGCCATTTCAAGGCCTCTTTGTTTCTTCTCCCGTCTGGTGTCATTTTCCTCCTGCCTGAAGACTTCTGTCCTGGTTCATTTTCTGTTCGTGTTCTGTGGATTACACCCAGAGCCTCACACTTGCTAGAACACCCGGCACTGAGTCATTCGTGAAGAACAGAGACTTGTTTCTTACGGCTCTGGAGGCTGGGAAAGCCCCACCTGCAGCTTTTCTACTCAGCTGGCCCGAGGCGGGCAGAAGGGCAAAGAAATCACGTGAGTGTGGGGGAAAAAGACTCTGAGCTTGCAGCCAGAAGTGGCTTATTAATCCTTTTACACACGGAGCCTTCACGGCCTGAAAACCTTCAGTGGACCCCATCTGCAAACTCTGCTTTTATTGGGGTAGAGTTTCCGGTGCACAATCTTTGAAGGTCACCTTCAAACCAAAGCAACCTCCTGTAGCAGTTTGCATGGTGCCGGGCTGCCGTGAATAGGATTTTGTACCTAAAGAAACAGATTCAGTTTTGCAAGATAATTTCCCTGGATATAGAATTCTGACAGCTTTTCCTTTCAATACTTTAATGGTGCCACTCCTGCATCTCCTGGCTGGCGTGGTTTTCAGCGTGAAGTCCCCTCTCCTCTCCGCTTTGGTCCTCTGCTGTGTCTTTTCTCTTTGTCTGCTTTTAAGACTCATTTTAGCAGGATTTGCAGCAGTGTGATTATGGCGTGCCTTGGCGCGAGGTATTGCACGGTTCTGATGGGGCAAGTTGAGGCTTTTGATTCTGGAGGTTTATGGTGTTTAAAATTTGGAAATACTTCGGCCATCATAATATTTATTTTTTTGTCTTTCTTTCCTCTCCTTCTCAGACTCCAGCTTCATATCTGTTAGATGGATTGATACTGTCATACAAGTCATGCATTTTCTCTGTTTCTTTCTTTCTTTCTCTCTCTCTTTCTTTTTTGTCTTTTTGAGTCTTGCTATGCAGTTCAGGCTGGCCTTGAGCTCACTTTGTAGCCCAGGCTGGCCTCGAACTCACAATGATCCTCCTGCCTCAGCCTCCCAAGTGCTGGCATTACAGGCGTGTGCCACACACCCGGCTAAGTCATGCATTTTCTTATTTCAGTACTAGGGATTGAACCTAGAGCCTCAGGCGAGCCGGCAGTTCTCCACCTGTGAGTGACAGCCTCAGACGGTCTTCATTTATTTTCAGTCTTTTCTTTTCTCTTCCATTTTGATCATTTTTCCTTCTCTGTTTCCAAGTTGGTTGATCTCTTTGGTGCTATCTGCTTGGCTTTAAACTGTTGTACTTTTCATTTCAGAAGTTGCATTTTATCATCTCAAGAAGTTTGGTTTGGGTCTTCTAAAATATTCTCCACTTCCCTCCTCTTTACACTCCTGCTTTCTTCTACCTTTGAGGACATGTGAGGTCTGTTTATAATAAACACACTTGTCGATGGATTCTGTCATCTGCTTTATTTCTGGATCTCTTTCTGCTGCTCGACCCTGCTCCTGGTTATGATTCATGTAACGTTCTGGATGCCCGGTGATGTTTAATTGGACATTGTGAACATTTACAGTGTTGAACACGGGGTTTCCTTTTGACTCTTTCCTGTATTTGGGCTCTGTCTGAGATGCAGTTAGGTTACTCGGAATCAGCTTGAGCCCTGAGATGTCCTCTTACGCTCTGTAGGATGGGTCTAGGGCAGGTTTGCAGGCTCCTCTGGTGCCACGATGGACGATAGTCACCTGATGAACTGCCCATGTCCCGTGTGTCGGGAGGTCTTTCCCCTGGGCTCATTGCAAACTATGCCCTGCTTAGCTCCGTGGATTGTTCAGCTTAGTCCATTCCTTGGTCTCTTTCCCCAGCATAGGACGCTAGGAATGGTCCCTCCCAAGCACGTGGTATCCACATCTGACCCAAGACTCAAGGGGACTCCTGTAGCTCTCCATGTCTCTCTCTCTCTGCAGCGCCTTCTTCTGTCCCATCCCACACCCCAAATTCTACCTCCTCAACTCTAGGCGGTGTTGGGGTTCCTGTCCCCATGTTGCAGCCTGAGCACTGCAGCTGGTGAGCTCCGGCACGCACAGGGCACCTCCTCCTCTTTTACTCCTCTCATGGACCACTTTCCTGCCCGCCTGCTGCCCAGGGCCTGAGGACCCTTGCTTCCAGATATTCTGTCCGGAGGATAGGGAGGTCTAGGCACTGCTCTCCCACTGGCTGGAGGACAGAGCTTCCAGGCTGCAGGGCTCCATGCCAGCCTCGCCCATCAGGCACCCCCGACCTGGCCTTTTCCTTGGACCCTGGGACGTGGATTTCCCGGCCTCTCCCCCGTCTCCCTGGGCTCCTTTCTCTGCCTTCCCGGCGGATGTGGCAGGGGCTCCTACCACTGCCTCTCCTCTGATGTCCCCTGCCGCTGTGGCCCTGCCCCTCTCCTCAGAGGGGAGCGCCTCCTAGGGCTTCTCTCCCATCTCCGCGCTGCTCCAACCCCTTGTTTCTTTTGCTTTCTCTTATTTTTATGTGATGTGGCAAAATATACATAACACAAAATGTGCCTGCTTTAACTGGCCGGTGGTTCAGCTGCATTAAGTGTATCCACCCGATTGTGTCACCATAACCAGCACCGGCTCAGACCCTCATCATCCCCATTAGACAAGAACCCACCCACGCCCTCCCCCGGCCTGGCAGCCGCCCTTCCACTTGCTGACTGGACCCATACTTGTAACTCTCCCTAGGTACCTCTCCCCATCCCAAATGCTCCGTGTCAGGTCACAGCTCATCCCTTTGCCCTGTCCCCCGTACTGCGCTGCGCCTCATCCTGGTCCCCAGGCCTGAGAGCCGGGCCCACTCCTCCCCACCTGAGCACAAGCCCTGTCCTTTCCATCCTTTGCTCTCCCGCTGCTGTCTCCTGCCTCATCCCTTTAACTCCAGTTCGGCCCGACAGCCTCCCCGGTCCGGCCAGGCTGCTCTGATGCTGTCACTAGCCAGGAAGGTGCCCTGGTGCCACCCAGGGAGGACTTCTCACCCACAGCAGTGGGGACCCCCTTGAGGAGTGAGTGGGGCGCAGGATGCCCTCAGGAGATGGATGCACCAGTGGGGATCCCCGTGTGTGGGGATGGGAGGGGGAGGTTGGTCTTTGAGAAGGGGAGGAGCAGCCCCTGCCTGCATCCAGCTTGCTCTA